GTTTCAGTGGAATGCGGGTCTGTTTGAATGAGTGACGGTGTGGGTGTATTGTCATTGACACACTCATTTTGAGTAGGCATCATTTGCATTAGAAAGGACTGAACGCGTGGCAGATTGTTTGTTTTGAGCTGGTTCAGATGACGTTGTGTCGATCGCTTCGTTCATATTTGTTTCTTTACTTATATTAACGTTTTGTATGGTATCGATTGTGCTGTTTTCACTATCTGTAACTTTATCGGTTTGCATATCATTTGGGGGAGTGTTATCGTTATGGTTTGGGTTTTGATTTGCGTTTTTGTTATCGTTTTGAATATCAGTTTGTGGGTTTGTATTGCTAGTGACTGCGGGTGTAGGTACAGGTGTTATAATCTGACTACAGTTACGTTGAGTGTGTCCTTTTTTGTGACATTTATAACAGATAATTTCGTCCGTTGACAAATAAATGCGATAAGTACGCTCCTCAAAAACGACATTAAGTACACCTTTTAGTTTATCCTGATCGCACAGCATGTATACTTGTCTGCGAAAACTTTTAGCGTGTCTCAAATTGGGACTTTTGCAGCCTCGTGGAATTGTATTTATTTTGCTGACTACTTTACCATACCGTAAAAGTTGTTCTTTTAGTAGGTAGTCGGGTATAAACAGGGGTACACCAGATAGCACGACTTTCGTTGCGGGTTTTACGAGTGATTGTACAGTAATAAATGTGTGCTCAATTCCACACCCAGATGCACACACAGATTCGGCAGATTCAAGTGAATTAAAGAAAACAATTACGCTGCCATTAGCACGAGAAGCTGCAACAATTTTTTCCGGACCACAAAGCTGTGAGAAAGCCTCAACATATTTTTCAATTTTACCGCCATCCAGTGACATGCATTTGACTCCATGCTTTCCTGTCAGCCCAGCAAAGGGGTTGACACGTGTACTCGTCGTGGAGGCGGCCATCTTGGCAGGCCTCTTGACGAGTAACACAAACAGAAAAAACTAAAACAACTGAGAACAAGGCAGATTTTTGCCAAAACAACCAAGAAATGCACCAACCAAAACGGGAAAGTATTTACAAAACTGGTGGAATGAAATAAAGTGTAATAACTGACCTATAAAAGGATTACCAGGAGAGCGATGTACCAGCGTGTATATGCTCATTTACATACATACATACAGACAGGGTAACTGCAAAGAATCCCTTTTGTGCTTCACACACGAGAGTCAAAAATCATTATTTTCAGAACAAATTCACAATGCTAAAAAAAAAAGCATTTTTTGACACTTTTCAAAAACCAGATTTTTGAATGTCAGGAAAAATAATTTTTTCAACCCATGTCACCAGCTAGCCTACAATGTGAGACATGGCATCGTATCTGGCACATAGACCTATGGTAAAAGTGTTACAAAATTGCCAAAATGGCAACTATCCACTAAAATACAACCATCCTTTTTTTGAAAATTAGCAACTTTTTTCAAGTCAATATACTTATATCACCCTGGAGTACAATTTATTGCGAAATAAATGAATTCTGGGTATTTTCATTTATGAGTAGGCTTCTACTTTAACAGGCAAAAGGGGGAAAAAAGGAAGGAAAGGCACTATACAGCCCAATTATTGAGTGACCTTTACTCTCGCTAATTATGTTGATATTTCAAAGACAGTAAACTTTAAAAATTATGAATTGTTACCTGCAACAAAAATTCAAATCATAATTATGCGACAGTATGTCTTTACTCACCTTTATCAAATACGATGTCATCTGAATTTCCTTTTCTGACAAACACTGCATTTTTATACATATTGGTGCATTTTTTCCTGGTCTGTGATTTACTCTTTGGTTTGAATTGATCTAGTGTAAATTGTGGAAGACTATCTAACTTGGCTTTGAAATCAAAGTCTGCATAGTCTCTGAAATAAATCAATAAATCAATACATATTGATCTAGTATGAATTGTACCAATGCTTTTCATGAATATTCAAATCATAGTTTCCAAATACAGGCATTCACTCATGAATATTCAAATCATAGTAACCAAATACAGGCATTTACTCATGAATATTCAAATCATAGTTTCCAAATACAACATTTACTCATGAATATTCAAATCATAGTTTCCAAATATAGGTGTTTACTAATGATTATCATTTGTGAAATATGCAATCCTTCCCACTGTGAAATCAGATAAAATTATAAAATTAAAAACTTGGCTTTGAAATCAAAGTCTGCATAGTCTCTGAAATAAATCAATACATATTGATCTAGTGTGCATTGTACCAGTGCTTTTCCCAAATATTCAAATCATAGTTTCCAAATACAGGCATTTACTCATGAATATTCAAATCACAGTATCCAAATACAGGCATTTACTCATGAATATTCAAATCATAGTTTCCAAATATAGGTGTTTATTATATTATTCCAACATCTCTAATGATAAAATCAACTTACAATACATCTAAACTCCTCCTTTCTCCTTGACTCCTGCCTTCTCTACTTCCTCCGACACAACTCTCACTCACTCTCCGTCTCCTAGCAGCAGCTGCCCGCCTCCTCTTAGCGGCTTTGCTTTCCAAATCAACAGTCGGGTCATCTTCGTCACTGTAACTTGTGAAGTCCGCCTTCCATGGCCGTTTACAGTTAAACGGTCTCTCCGGCCGCTGTAAATCATGTAACATTCCGCCTGACACAAATTGTTTATATCGTTGTCCTTTGCATGATCGGCTTGATTTTCGACAGCGGTTTCCTGATTTTGAATCCTCAGGCTCGCTTTCATCAAGTTCATGTTCTGGTTCACTTTCAGCTTTTCCAGTTTTCAAGGCAATATCCACTGATTCCTCATTTGCACTTTCAGAGTCATCCATCTTGTTTTCTTCTTGTTTGGTTGTCTTCTTTTTTTTCATTTTTTCCTCGGGTCGGTTCTTTTTCCGTTTCTTTGGTTTTTCAGTTGATTTTTCCTCAGATTCCGAAGATGGTTTTAAATGTTTGTTCTTCTTTCGCTTTTTTTCTGTGTCTTTATTTTGTTTACCATCATCGCTATGCTTTTTAGATTTCTTTTTCTTCTTTCGTTCAGTCCTTGTTTCAGAGTTAATCTTACTCTCATTGGCCGATTCAGTAGGGCTAACAGTGCCCGCTTTCTTGTTACTGGATGCTGAGTTCTGATTGACTGTTTGTTCTCCTGCCTTATTGGTCGTGCCATCCTTAGGTTCTTGCTTGTAAGAAGCCTGCTCTGAACACATCTGTAAAACAAGTCAAAGAAAGCTTAGAACTATGTTCTGTGTGCTGAGAAAACTGGAGTCACAAAGTACAAATAAGGAATACTGTATTTACTTATATTAGAAGAATATTTCCAATGCACATAGGACAAAAAAGTGTTTCTTGCATGCATAATCACCATAGACTTTGACGTTTACATTTGAGCAGATGTGAATCTAAGTAAGCAAAAATGGCATTCAGAAATATAACTGCAAGAAGCAATCAAGGCGGTTCCAGGTGACTATAGTATAGCAATTAAAAGTATTCACTGAAATCATGACTTGATATATTCTGTCCGACAACAATTATAGTACTAGTTGTATGTCCCTATCTGCAACAGTACTTATGATATTACAGTTATGCATATTAATGAGGTTACATATATGTTCATAACACATATGTTACTGTAAAAGGGTTTATTATTCACTTGGTTTTAATTTTGCTTATTTTGCTGACTGGAAAATGCGCTAAATTAAAACCCAGTGAATATGTAAAATTTAGCGTAGAACACGTTACCTAAATGATAAAACTGTGAATTTAAAACACAACGAATATGCCTGAAATGCTAAATCAGTGAAATTTAAACCCAGTGAAAATGAGTCATTGAGTAGCTCTGTCAAATGCCTCCATTATAGCACTAGTTTCATGTCTTTATCTGCAACAGTGCTTGAGATATTACACTTGCACATATTAATTAAGTCACATGAACTCATTTATACATCTATAAAATTGATTTATGCTGATTAGGTAATTAGTAAGCACTAAATTTAAACCTAAACTAAACACAATATGGCTTATCCTAGAGCATTTATGTACCAAGTTGCATTGAGTTCTGATAAATGGTACTTGAGAAACATTGGCCAATTATATGCAAATTAGGTCATTAATATGCACACAATCCAACTGAAAACTATGCATTATCTCAAAGCATTTATGTACCAAGTTTCATTAAAATCTGATGAATGGTACTTGAATGAAACAAGTAAAAATGATTAAAGGGTGGTGGTTGTTACGTTGCGCATGTGTGACATTTGTGTTGATAAACATTGATTTCCCCCACAATCCAATGCTCTCTTTTAATGGAACTCACAAGTATAAGTTTTGACCTGAGCACGAAATGTACTAATTACCGCCGATGACTCCTTCAATACCTTCCAATCACTTAAAAAATACCTAATTAAAGCTTGGTAACGTCTGCCCAACAGTCAAAGTCGCCATCTTTGTTCATATGTGACCCATATATCTCACGCATGTGTGGCGTGATGACTACCACCTTTTAAAATTGGCCAATTAATATGCAAATTAGGTCATTAATATGCACATAATTCAACTGAAAACTAATCAGGTCAATGAATTATTCCAGAACATCTATGTACCAAGTTTCATTGAAATCTGATAATCAGTTCCCGAGATATCAGTGGAACAGACACACACAGACTGACATACCTACAGACGCACTAACCCCAAAGACTCCCATTTTGCGCTTCTCACAATTACACATCAATTTATAGATATTGTCCTGATAGTTTAAGAAATTGATCCCGCCAAGTAGATTTCAGAAGTTCTAGTTAGTCAGCCTAGTCTCCATAGAAACTGGATATTTTTGCAATAACTTATTAAGTAATGTAAATTTGAGCTGCATATATTGAATCAAATTTATAATTTCATACCCTTGATTTAAATCGAGGTTACAAACCTTCCATGGTAGCAACAATTTATGGCGCATGTAGTCAAGAATATTTGATTGAAGTTAGTATCATGTGACCCAAATCCTTTGTGTGCTGAAGTCAACTTTGGGCACTATCTACAGAATAGGCCGATTTATAATCTTCTTATTTCCACATGAAATGTTGCTAAAATTTCAAATGTTTTGATCAATAACTCATTTTGACTGTTTTGTCTAAAATTAAGATTGAATTTAGTGAAACTTACAGAAAATGTGAACAAATTCACCCAAAATTAAGCAGGGACAAAATTTTGCACTCAAATGGTTAATGTGATCATGTGAAGAAACTTGTACATGTATGTTTAAAAAAGTTACATACATGAATATCTCTTCATCTACCTTTGTTAAAATTTTAATCTTATATTGACACCAATTGTCATTATATATAATACATCTACCACATAGAGTTTAGAAAATAGCATTCCGTATGTATATACACACTCAATCAAACATTAAAAATGAGTTATATTTACTGTAAAATACTTTATTTTTACTTGGAATTAATTTTCGCTGAAGGAATAATTCAGTGAAAATAATATCCAGTGAATATACCTTCTTTCCTATATTTTACATTTTTTACATCAAAAATCAGTGAAAATAAATTTGATACAAAACACCCAAGAAGTCTAATTCCAGTTAAAATAAAGTATTTTACAGTATGTCATGTATAAACAGCGCTTTCAATGTGGTATTCTCGTGATTATTTCAGATGTTTTTTTTCTTTTTTTGTATGATGTCACTGTTCTGTTTTGACAAGCAAGCCCTTACCTGTGCAAACTCAAACAATGTACTCTGGTTACCACGGTAACTACTACTTGTATTATTATTTTCGTTTTTTGCACTGATCTCCGATTTCTTGGACTCTGGAGAACTGTTATTAGATGTGTTTTGTGATGACGGTGAAAGTGCTTGTTCTCCAGCCATCAGGAGTAGATTCAACCCACCCATGTCGGCAGGATCTAAAAACAGAAATCATTTAATTATTACACAACTTAAAATACATGTCTGTACTACTGTAAAAGCATTGTCGTGTCATGTCAAGGTCAGTGTAGATCAGTGTTTGTTTTCATGTTTTTGGAAAAACAAAACGATTTTCCTTGCACATATAATGGGTTAATACCCGGTAATCAAATAGAGTCGGCAATTGATTAATGTCAGTAATCGAACAGTGTGAGTAATCAAACCATGTGATAAAATCAATTGATATGTAATCAAACTGAGTGAGTAATCAAATCGAGTGATTAATCAAACCGAGTGATTAATCAAACCGCGTGGTTAATCAAACCGAGTAATAACCAAGCTGAGTGAGTAATCAAACTGTGTGAGTAATCAAATCGAGTGATTAATCAAAACGAGTGATTAATCAAACGGAGTAATTAACCAAGCTGAGTGAGTAATCAAACTGTGTGGGTAATCAATTGATATATAATCAAACTGAGTAATCAAACCGAGTGAGTAATCAAACTGAGTGAGTAATCAAACCATGTGAGTAATAAACCAAGTGAGTACTACAGTCCAGTTTATGAAGCTGGCTTAAAGCTACCTTAGTTAGCTTTCAAAACAACCATACTGTACATGTAAATTTTACTAAATAATCTGTCTCAATAATGAATCAAATGACAGTTAATCAAAATCTAACAGCACTGGTTCGTCACACCAAGGTAATAGATCAGTAACGTTCATATATTTGGAAAAACAAAACAATTTTCCTTGCACAGATTTATAATGGGTTAGTACCCAGTAATCAAACAGTGTCAGCAATTGGTTAATGTCAGTAACTGAACAATGTAAGTAATCAAACCGAGTAATCAAATCGAGTAAGTAATCAAATCGAGTGAGTAATCAAACCAAGTGAGTAATCAAACTGAGTCAGTAATCGAACTGTGTGAGTAATCAAACCAAGTGAGTAATCAAACTGAGTCAGTAATCGAACTGTGTGAGTAATCAAACCAAGTGAGTAATCAAATCAAGTCAGTAATCAAACCAAGTCAGTAATCAAACTGTGTGAGTGATACAGGGTAACCAAACTATAAATTCAAATCACAAAGTCATTGTTTCTATAAAAATAAGTTTGGGTAACCCGACCATTTATTTCTTTGATCATCTATTCGACAGAATCATTTACTCAGCAATAATATCAAGTTTTTATTTTAAACTGTCAGCATATTCACCAGTTACCTTAGTCCACACATAAAAAGATAGATTTAATTATTCAAATTTTGCTACCTTTTACAAAACAAATCCACATAATTGTTTCCATGGTTTCCTTAAAACATGTATTCAAGACCTGTTAAGCCTGTTGTAAATTATTTCCATTTAGACCAACAAATTCATGAAAATGTGCAAAATGAACTACTAAATTTTGTTGACATTAAAATATTTGCCTAACATTATTAAGCTGTCTTTAACCTTTTCACCACCAGTTCCCTCTTTCCATCACAAATTCACAAAATAGTTCTGTTTATAGTCTGCACTCTCCTTCTGAAGATAAGGAGAAAAATAGTCAAATTCTTTGACTAAAAACTGAAAATTGACTTAAATTTTGTCTGTTGGTTTCAAAATTAGACTTGTTCTCCAGAAATATGAAAGAATATAGGAAAAAATGCAGAAAAATTGGGACAAGAATGTCTGGTGGCGAAAAGGTTAATAATGTCCAACCCCCAAACAGGTTGATATCGAAAACAGTCAAAACCTCTAGATTCAATCAAAGCCAGTCTTGCATAGAAATTAACATGACCCAAAGTGCATGTTATATTAATACGTATTTGTCAAAATGAAATCTATATTTATATCAAGCTGCGTAATCTAGTGTATGAATACAGTGACATTTAACAAAAGCACTCATTTAAATGCCACATGACTCGTGTTTATACTCTGTATTCCAGACACACATTCAATTCATCTCATATTCAGTAAATCGGTTTTAATTTCACAAATTGAAAGTCAGTGAATATGAGTAAATTTTGTACCAGTGACAATTTCTCCAGGATTTCAGTGACTTTAGTGAAATGTCATCTTCACTGATGCAATAAAATGAGCAAAGTGTGAAATTTCCCAGCAGGGAAAATTTAGGTTTACAGTTTACATACAGTAATACAAAGTACTGTAATGACAAGTATTACAAGGCTGCTTTAAAAATAAACACATCTTGAGAAAAAATATTATACTTCCCTTAGTATTAGAAGTAGAGACAATAAAAGTGACTGACACTAATAAATTACTGTAATTCCCCCTATGAGATGCAAATTTGAAATAGACAAAGCATGTGCACAAAGCACAAACAGTGCGACAATTTAATATATAGACTGAGCTCACTATCAAAATGATTGGATCACAATTACTGGTACACACTGTCATACTATGACATCATTTGTTTACATTTTGCCAACCAGCATGCAAATGTCGGATAATACTGATCAGTACTAACTCAATATATGCTTTGACAATGTTGCACATAAGTTGTTTTATTATTATTAATTGGTCTATTAAATATACAGTCTCTCAGCTGAGATAGCTCTGCTGTTAGTAATGCACATTTCAAGAACCGAAGATATCATTAGAAAATGAACAAATCTAAGAGAGGTTTACCTGAGGTACTTATATGTACATGCATAGTATCAAAGCAATCTGACTTGCGTTTTTCAACGAGAAGTCAAAAATATCACTTTTTACCAAAAATGTCCAAAATATTCATCACAACAAGTCATTGTCAATGACACATTCCCGTTCCATTCATATTTGAGTGACATATACATTCAAAGCAGATCATGACCGAAATCTCAGACCACTTTCAGTGGTCTGATCCGAATTGCATCTGCATATGTACAACACATTGTACTAAATCTGAACAAAATCCATCCATGCATGACTGAGATCCGGTTCTGGAATTGTGAAAATACGTGATTTTGATGCATTTTCGGCCTTAAAATGGCCATTATTCAGCTATTGTTAAGCGGATCATGAAACAAATGCACATATCTATTTGTGACATGATGTACCATGTGTGTGTGAAGTTTCAACTGAATTCTTTAAAACAAATGGCCGCCAGTCGGCCATTTCGAACTAGATCCGAAAAAAAAATGACATGCATCAAGGTCCTATTATGTTTAATGTATGTACCTAATTTGAACAAAATCCGTCCATGCATAACTGAGATCCGGGTCCGGAATGGCGAAAATGTGCGATTTCAATGCATTTTCGGCTTTAAAGCGGCCGCCATTTGGCTATCGTTAATGAGATCATGAAACAAATGCACATACATATTTGTCACATGATGTACCTTGTGTGTGTGAAGTTTGAACTCGATCAATCCAGGCATGTCTCAGATACAGATCCAGAACTGAATTCTTTAAAACAAAATGGCCGCCAGTCAGCCATTTCAAACCCGATCCCCCCAAAAAAATGATGTGCATCAAGGTTCTATTATGTTTAATGTATGTACCAAATTTAAACAAAATTTGAAGCATTTTCGGCCTTAAAATTGCTGCTATTCGGCTATTGTTAATCGAATCATGAAAAAAATGCATGTGTATATGTCCCATATAATGTGTGATGTATGAGTGAAGTTTGAACTTAATTGGTCCATGCATGTTCAAGATACAGGTGATCACGGACGCACAGAGGGCAAAACATAAGTCCCCGTTTTCGGACTGCGTCCGAACAGGGACTAATTAGAGAATTGAAGATATCATCATGAAATGAACAAACCTGTGATAGGGGTACCTATAGTACCTATATGTATAATATGAAAGCAATCAAACTTGCGGTTTTACCAAAAGTGCCAAAAATATTCACCAAAATTAGAGAATTAAATTGTATCAAATCCAAGGCTTGTAATTTTCAAGAAAAAGTTGATGCAGATGATGGACAATCACTCATATGATAAGCTTTTTTTGACAAAGTTGACTGCGGAGCTAAAAACTAATGCTTCAAAACTATTTTCAGGGGCTGCGGGTGGTAAAACAAAGAACTATGGCAGTGTCCGACCACTGTGGTGGTAAAACAAGGTACTGTGACAGTGTCAGA